AAAAAAGAAAAAGAAAAAAGAAAAAAAAAAAAGAGGAAAAGGTTCTAGGCTTCTTTTCTTCCCTAAAAAGGTCCCTCAGAGTTTTGCTGGTTGTTGCCAAACAATTCCCTGGAAATTTCCATTCCTTTGTTCTCAGCTTGGGACCTCTCACAGAGTTTTCTTGCTGGGACCTGGAAAATGGCCTGAGGGCTGTTGTAGCAAGAGCGGCGGGGAACAAACTTCTCGGACACCGAACTGTGGAAAGAGATGGCTTTTTATTTGGCCAGGAGCTGTGGGAGGTCTACAGCCTCATTCACTGAGCTCCCCAAACTTCAGCTTCTCACCCCTTTTATAGGCTTATGACGCTAAAGGGGAAACTGAGGCAGAACTATGTCATTGTCATTTGCTGGACGTCTGACTTTACAATCTTTTGGCTTCATTGATTTGCTAATTCAGCAAGGGAGGGGGGCTTACAGAGACAAAAGCAACAAGCTGTTTGTTGGCAGAGGTGTTTCCAGGAGGGTTCCTGGTCTGTGGAGTTGTGGGGGCATGAACCAGTGCCTAGCTTCAGCTTGCAGAGATAGCATTCATTTGCAGCTTTTTCAAGGTTAACAGATAGCAGAGATGCTCGGAACTAAAGAGGGAGTCATTTTCCCAGCTCTTTGGTATTTTTTTCTTCTTCTTCACTCTCCTTCCCATCTGGAAGTGGGGGGGAAGGAGGTGGTCTCTCCTCTCACTGTCACCATCACAAGGTGCACCTGCCCAGGTACCCAGAGACCGCCAGTCAGGTGGTCTGTGCTTTTCTGGGCTCGTCACCGTCCTACCTCTCTACTCTCTAGAGGGCATGCAGAGCTCTCTTCCAGGCTGTGTACTCACCAGTTTCTGTAAGTTCTCACTCACGCAGTTCATTAACCCGGCTCCTGCCAACGCTTTCAGTTTCTAGAGGTTTAATTTTTTTTCTCTGCTTTAGGCAGAGGGAAGAACAAACTCACCAGGGGCTAAATAAACCCCAGATGGCAGCATCTCAGCCTATTTTCAGATATATCTCAGCTGTCTGTGTAGGGGGTGGAAGCATGACTCAGGGTCAGTTTCTCCATATTTTCTAAAGCAAAGATCGATTACAACATGTGAGCCACTAAGTATAAATGTTTATGGGGACCCTAGGGACAGCGTGTTTGAAATTGGAATTTTCCTGGGAAAAGGGCTGTATGGTGATACAGGACGTTAGCTAGAACAAACAGGTAGAGTTGCAGCTCAGATGGCATGGGGTGGGGCCCAGGGGCATAGACTGTTAACTTGTTTGGAGCTTGCGCTCCTCTGCCCCTGGGAGGGGCCAGTGGCTTGTAATAGTGGATGTCTACAGTTTTGTGTCATATGCCCATTTTTTTTTCTGATATTGACATGCCCCCTACCCTACTTTTTCTCAGTTCACAGTTCAGGTGGGGTTGAATTCCTCCTCTAGCTCCAAGAAGGGCCACATGACCCAGGCCTAGCCAACCAGAGTATTCTATTCTCCAGGCTATAGTGATTTTTTTTTTTTTTTTTTTTTGAGACAGAGTCTCACTCTGTCCCCCAGGCTGGAGTGTAGTGGCATGATCTTGGCTCACTACAACTTCTGCCTCAGCCTCCCAAGTAGCTGGGATTACAGGTGCACACCACCATGCCTGGCTACTTTTTTGTTTTTAGTAGAGATGGGGTTTACTATATTGGCCAGGCTGGTCTCAAACTTCTGATCTCAAGGGATCTGCCTGCCTCAGCCTCCCAAAGTGCTGAGATTACAGGCATAAGGCACTGCACCCAGCCGTAGTGATTTTTTGTGTGTTTTGTTTTGAGACAAGGTCTGGCTCTGTCTCCCAGGCTGGAGTGCAGTGGTGTGTTCATAGCTCACTGCAGCCTCAACCTCCTGGGCTCAAGCAATCCTCCTATGTCAGCCTCCCATGTAGCTGGGATTATAGGCACACACCACTGTGCTCCACTAATTTTTTATTTTTTGTAGAGGTGGGGGTCTCACTGCTTTGCCCAGGCTGGAATGATTGTTGTAGGGAGAGGCACAAGTTCATGAGTCCCAATTTTCAGGCCTTTTTCTTGGCCTATTGAGACACAATTGTACTTCATCTGGGCTTGGAACTGCTGGAGCCTCAGGCTGGGGCCTTCAATTGAAGCCAATATTGAAGCCATTTTCAGAGCGGACCTGAAAGATGAGAGATCTAGCCTTGTTAATATTATGTGAACCTGAGTCAACATATACCAGAATTGAGAAACAGCTGAACCCTAAGACTTTTCAGTTATGTGAAATAACAAATCCCCTATTTGTAAAAGCCAGCTTGAAATTGGGTTTTAAATCCTAATTTACTATTGAACATTTTATGTGAAGCTGCAGCACATCTCTCAACTTTTACCAGCACATTTCAGATTTCTGTTCTCCTATACCGTGATCCATGTTTTATTGAAGTTTTGGGGCTTCTTTTGTAGAAATGATAGAAATGTCTTTAATAAACATTCTGGAGTATGTATGGCTTTAATGAATTAAACCTAATGGGCACTTGATATGAAGGAATTTAATATTTGTTGAAATGAAGTGAGACAAATAAATTACACACTGAGATACTGCCCAGGTTGCTAAACGTTTAAAGGCTGAGGCTTGTAATTTTATTTTCTTCCATTTCCTAATAGTGTAGTGTGACACATCACAATATATCTCTACACTGTGACTTGATTTCTCCCGAATCTGTGTCTAATGCTGGGAGCCCTGAGGTTCTGGCTGAACCCATGACACCTGCACACATGTGCTTGGTTTGCCTCATGACTGAGTCACTCGAGCCAAGACTGCAAACAGGACAGAGTTTGAAGCTGCTGCTCCCGTGGGAGGCCTTTATCTCATATCCTACGAGAACAGGACCAGTAGGCCAGCTGGTCTATAAACAGCCCCTAAAATGGTAACCTATTAATCTCAAATACTTGTTTTGAGACAAGAGTCTCACTGTGTTGCCCAGGCTAGAGTGCAGTGGTGTGATCTCAGCTCACTGAAGCCTCAGTAGTTGGAATTCTAGATGCCTGCCACCATGCCCGGCTAATTTCTGCATTATTAGTAGAGACGGG